GAAATCGGCCTGACGACACTGGAGGACAGGAAGGTCAGGGGAGACATGATAACGACATATAAAATACTGTGCGGAATAGACAAGGTGGACAAAGACGGGATGTTCCAGAGAAGGGACACAGAAACAAGAGGTCACAATTGGAAGTTGAAGACTCAGATGAATCAAAGGGATGTTAGGAAGTATTTCTTCAGTCATAGAGTAGTCAGGCCGTGGAATAGCCTAGAAAGTGAAGTAGTGGAGGCGGGAACCATACATAGTTTTAAGGCGAGGTATGATAAAGGTCATAGAGCAGGGAGAGAGAGGACCTAGCAATCAGTGAAGAGGCGGGGCCAGGAGCTATGAATCGACCCCTGCAACCACAAATAGGTGAGTACAAATAGGCGAGTACACACACACATACATATATACAACAGTGCACCTCTCATCTAACAATGCTTCCAGATTTCACGCATACATTTACCTGTTATAAAGCAAACGGGACTCAACCTGCCCTTGGAGCCCTGACCCTCCCTGACCAAGCTCTCACTGCACTTACCTACCTACCCTCTTATTCAGTGAGCTTTATGACACTCTTGCCTGAGGGAGGGAGGTGGTAGCTTAGTGTTCTCTTGAAACAGTCTGGTGCTGGGGTATGGGTGGGGGTTGGTCGTTCATCATTTGGGGGGGGGGGGTTAGAACACATTCCTCCCTGTCGGAACAAATATGTAGCACTAAGGTTGCGCTGGCGTACCTCCCCCTCCCCCCCATTCTTCTTCTCTCTCTCTATCACACTGAAATATCCTAGGTTAAATCTGCATGTACTTTTATGCGTTAATAACATGTGTAACCTTAAAACCATTGTCAGAACAAATTAAATATTACGGTGTCCCGTGGCCTGGTAGGCAACACTCGTCTCACAGGCTTGAGCGTCCATGGTTTAATCTCCAGCGTGGGTGGAAACATTGAGCGTCTTTCCTTACACCTGCTGCCCCGTTCACTTAGCCGTAGAAGGTACCTGGGTGCTAGTCGACTGGTGTGGGTGGCATCCTGGAAATAAGACACAGTCCCTCGATGACTCACTAACTTTCTTGGGTTATCCTGAGTGGCTAACCCTCCAGGATTAGAAATACCAATAAATATTATTTCTTTGTTTGGTTAAACTTTAAAACGCTGTCAGTCTTACAGACGTCTGTGGATTAATTTTCACTTATGTTAGTCTCAATTTGCCTTTTTTTTTTTTTTTGTCTTACCAGAGAAGGTTGAGAAACATAAAATACTGGTACTTGTGTGGTAATGCTTGAGTGTGTTATCCGCTTGACAGAAGTTAACCTTCAAAGTAAGATTTGAATTGGTTTTGGGTGCATGTGTCCCAATTTTCCGTTATATTGAAGAAATTGTGATGCCTTTGATGAAATCCCAGAGTTTTTCTATTCCCAGAGCCCGGCCTTGGGCCAGGTTCGTCTGGTGCTGGCCTAGTCAACCAGGTTGTTGCTGCTAGTGGGCACCCCATCCCCCCGACCCACATATCCATCAGAGCCTGGTTGATCTGACACCTACTTCTCTTAGATAACTTGAGAATTCCTCTTTTGATTCGCATCAATTTTTTTACCCTAATATTTTACAGCATTTTAAATTTGTGCCGCACTCTGCACTATTCCTTCCTTGCCCATTTAGGAGTAGGGGACTGGGGAAGAACTGTGAATGCTTTGATGTAACTGAAGCAGTTCCTGACTGATGGACTGAGAGCGTAGACGAATCTGCTGGAATATATATACTGGCGTTTTAATCTCATTAAAGAGCATATTAAATCATTGTCAGCAGTCTGATTTTTTTATACAAGCAGCAGTCATATTTTCCAAGTAAAAGACTGGTATGAGCCGGCTTGCTCATGACGCTCACTCTGCTACATACTTCACAGTTTGTATGTTGTCGTTCGACTCAAGAGTACAGTAAAGGTAAGACGTACAAAGTAGTTTAACGCACTTGTCCTGGTTAACCGAGTCCAGCGCACTTATCCTGCCTAGTCAAGTGCGCTCTTTTCCCCTCAAGGGATATTAGTGTGTGCCAGTGAGGGGTCCTTCATCTACGAAATTATCCCCGTGTTCCCTTTCCTTGGTTTGAACCTGAATGCCTTCCATTCCTCTTAGCGCTCCCCATGAATAATAATAATATTATAATTATTATTATTATTATTAAGTGCTTCCGTCTTCAGCTTAGCGGACGGAGGACAGAGCCTCCACCACTCATTGCACTAAATACCCGCGCGGGTTTAGTGCTTCACATAGTGTAAGCCATCATAATCAACAATTATCAAGTTTGTAGTTGGAAGGACCTGTGGTTATATCTTGCTGCGTCGCCTTCAGCCTCAGTGTTGTCATCAAGGTTGAGTTCGTGGACTCAGACTTTAGACATTGTAGTTTTATACGAGGTTACTCCCGTAATACATTCTTACACTACAAATAAAGATGTGGACCCAGTTTATTCCAGACTTGTTTGTTAAGGATATTATAGAATACCGACAGGTTGATGAGTAAGATACAAGACCAGCAGTTAGGTGCCTTTATTGAAGATACCCAACTGTTGCACGTGCGTCTTACTCATAATCTAGACTTTATTTACACGCCTTGGAACCTGTTATCGTACTGACTATATGGAATAAAAATTACGAGTTACTGCAGTAGTACACTCGTCACTACTTGATAAAAAACACTTAAAACCTTACCATAAGTGGTCAGACCACTTAACGTTTTTACCTCGCTTTTCCTTTCTACCCACAAGCTCTTTTTTTATTGTGTTAGTAACTACAGCTCTGTTGGAAAAAAGCCTTTGAAGCTGTTGTGGCTGATGAATCTAATGGAATACTTGATGATATCCTCTTTCTCCTAATGAAGTCTGTCAGCTCAAGCTGACAATGTTGAAGTCTACCAGCTCTGACCGACACATTTCAACACTGTATTTGACCCATCCTGTGTGACAGATTGATATCGTTCCAGACAGTGGATCTGAACTCTTCTCCAGGCTGAGGGACTGACCACCTCAAATACTATTACTCCAAGATTGATGGACTGTTTACATCATCTTCATTTCGCTACTATACCTGCTACCACTGTGTTTGACTGAAGAAGCCTACTGTGTAGGCGAAACTTTTCATCAATAAAGATACTCAACTGTTGCACGTCTTAATCGTCAGCTTGTCGGGGGCATTGACCCCCGAAACTCTCTCCAGGTAACAGGCAAGAGATGCTGAGTCAGTGATGATACTCTTCAAATCACTTGTTCTCTCCAGACTGGATTACTACTGAACTATTATATTTCTTGAAACCTTGGCGAGAAAGGTACATAATAGTTTACACTTGGAAAATCCCGGAGGGACTGGTCTCAAACCTGAATACTAAAATTACTCTCTGTAACAGTAAAAGATTTGGCAGTCGGTGCAAAATACCTCTGTAAAATTATTATTATATTCAAATAAAGCGCTAAACCGACAAGGGTCATGCAGCGCTACCTGTTTAAAAGCAGGGGCGAGACGAGTACACTAAGAACTCATTGAGTGTCAGAAGTCCCCGACTCTTTCAGCTCCGTCTCTCAGTGCATAAAGGTAATTACCAAGAAACCTCTGGCTGTCTTCAAGAAGGAACTGGACAAATTCATCAAATCAGTTACTGACACTCCGGAATGTGGTACGTTAGACTGCATGGGACCAGCAGTAACAGCCTGGTTGGTCAAGCCTCGATCCTCCAGGAGGCTTGGTCTGGGACTGGGCCGCAGGGGCATTGAAACATCTTCCTCCCCCCAAGCATCCTTCAGATAGTGCTTGCGAAGGTGCAACTGGTCCCAGAGGAGTCTGATCAAGACCCGTTGTGACCTCCGTATAATGGTGATCGTCAAAGGAAGATCCGTGTCCACTAGAGTCTGTCCACTCTTACTCAACCTCTGTCTCCTCTCCACTCACTTCCCTCCACTCTTATTCGCTTTTCCTCCACCTCTATCAGCTTCTCCACCCTCTCTTCCTCACTACCCTAACCTACCCTCCATACCCCCCGTGTCGACCACAGCCCAACATTGTACCCGAGCCATTACCCCCTTCCCCTACTCCAATACCCTTCCTCCTACTCCAATATCCTCCCCCACCTTCACCTACCCCCCTTCCCTTTGTTATCATTCCGCTCATTATCATGTCTCACTTGTTTGTGCTGGGTGGTCTGCTGCTTGTACCTGGCTTGTTCATGTGCACTCTTGTTTGTGCTGGGTGGTCTGCTGCTTGTACCTGGCTTGTTCATGTGCACTCTTGTTTGTGCTGGGTGGTCTGCTGCTTGTACCTGGCTTGTTCATGTGCACTCTTGTTTGTGCTGGGTGGTCTGCTGCTTGTACCTGGCTTGTTCATGTGCACTCTTGTTTGTGCTGGGTGGTCTGCTGCTTGTACCTGGCTTGTTCATGTGCACTCTTGTTTGTGCTGGGTGGTCTGCTGCTTGTACCTGGCTTGTTCATGTGCACTCTTGTTTGTGCTGGGTGGTCTGCTGCTTGTACTTGGCTTGTTCATGTGCACTCTTGTTTGTGCTGGGTGGTCTGCTGCTTGTACCTGGCATGTTCATGTGCACTCTTGTTTGTGCTGGGTGGTCTGCTGCTTGTACCTGGCATGTTCATGTGCACTCTTGTTTGTGCTGGTGGTCTGCTGCTTGTTCTATTGTTCAAGTACTCTAAGACTTTCCAAGGTCACAACTCGTAGAGAGATCATTGCTATCTACAGTTCAGTACGTATCTTTTACATTTCTACTGCTTCTGCTGCCTCCTCTGTATTTGACTGAAGTGGCTTACTGTGTAGGCCAAACATTTCGGCCTAAAAAGACCTGTTTCCCATGTGTCTTATTTATTAACATGTATCTCTTCTTTAGCTGTAAAGGCCATGATAATGGGGCAATAATGCCGTCTCTTATTTTTTCTTTTGTATCAAAATTTAAGAATCTGTTTATTTTTGTAAAATTAGTGGTACAGTGTTAATTAGTCTGTTGTTTGTTTTGCAGACGTGAGTGAGGGTGGTCGTGAAGACGAGGACAGTGAGGGTGTGGGCGAGGCGCCGCCCACCTGCCACCCTGCCACCGACCCACCGCCCCCGCCGCCCTTCAGCCCACCGCCTCCCCGCCCGCAAGCCATGGAGGGCCGCCCCGCCGCTGCCACCAAGCTGGGTCGCATGTCCCCCTCGGTGTACGTGGGTGGTGGCACTCTGGGGCGAGTCAGCCCCGGTCACGACCTAGGATACCACACCCTCGTCACCAGACAGACGCCCACGCCTACCAGAGACCGCACTACGCCCACCAGAGACCGCACCACGCCCACCAGAGACCGCACCACGCCCACCAGAGACCGCACCACGCCCTCACCGTGGTCAGACGTGCGAGCCTCTCCATTTCCTGCTCTGGATCTGTCAGCTTTGTCGTCGTGTCCGCGGTCGTCTCCGCGACCGCAGCTTCCCCAGGTGCCACCGCAGCAGCAGCAGACGACGCCGCAGCAGCAGCAACAGCTGGAGAGCACAGACCAACTCTTGGCAACGTACAAAGGGAAGAGGGTAGCGCGGTCGTCCCCTTTCGATAAGTTGAGCGATGAACTAGTGGTTCGAATCCTGTCGTTCCTACCAACAAATGCAGTGTGTCAGTGTGCACGAGTGTGCCGGCGGTGGTACGTGCTGGCCTGGGACCCCAGATTGTGGTCTACCATCACCTTGGCCAGCGAGGCCATCCATGCAGACAGGGCCATCAAGCAGATCACACGACTCTTGGCCAGAGACTCTGGCGGCTGTGTCCACGTGGAGAAGGTGAGTCCCACCCACACTCACGTGTTTCAGTGGTTCTGTATTCAGTGTTATACAGTCATACCTTGATTATTATATTCATGAGAAGCGTTAAATCCGTAAGTTTCATATAACGCCAGGAGAATGGGTATAGGTGTAGATTGCCAATTTATTGAACTGTCAGAACTGAAATATTGTAGTGGTTTTTGTGATATAATTTGTGAATGCCTAATCCAAATGGCTTCAAACCTTCAGTGCTGATATATCTTGGAGAAAGTTTTGAATTATTATTGGATTGTGTAGTTGTCAGTCTTAAAATCTTCAGTCCCCTCAGCTGTCATTGTTTGGTAGCTCAAAAGAGGTATACAAATTCCAGTTTCTTAAAAAAAAATCCTTATAGGTTTGTAGAACATTTTTTCAGTAGAATATAACCGAAAAAAAAAACAAGAAATATTTTTTATGCTACTTTACTGTAGAGTCGGTCATATACATACTCAGGTAGTGTTCGTTCTTCCTCCAAGGTTTTTGTTGACAACTTAGAAATGTTGAAGATTGAGACACTTATGCAGCATATGGGAATCTTTATTCAGGAAACGTTTCGCCACACAGTGGCTTCATCAGTCCAATACAAAGAGGAAGGCGTAAGGATAGGAGGAGTATGAGGTAATCAGTCCCTCAGCCTGGAGTCGATGTGTTCAGTCCATCAATCTTGTAGAATGTACAGCATAGGGCCGTAGACGTGGCTTATATACTGTAGTGAGGTGAGGTGAAGCAGGCGGAGGCGGGGTCATAGTGGTACCATCCACTAGTCGAAGTAGGTCTTCGTCCAAGTGTTGAAGAATTCTTCAACACTTCTGAATACTGGTATAGCCTACCTAGAAGGTTGGGATTGTTATTGAAGTTTTTAGGTGTCACTTCATATCATTTGTGGATACCTGGAGTATTCCGGGGATCAACGCCTCCGCGGCCCGGTCCATAACCAGGCCTCCTGGTGGATCAGGGCTAGATGAACTAGGCTGTTACTGCTGGCCACATGTAATCCAATGTACGAACCACTGCCCGGCTGATCCGGCACTGACTTTAGGTATCTGTTCAGCTCCCTCTTGAAGACAACCAGGGTCTATTGGTAATTCCCCTTATGGCTGATGGGAGGCTGTTGAACAGGCTTGAGCCCCAGACACTCATGGTGTTTACTTTTAGTGTACTAATGGTGCCCCTGCTTTTCATTGGGCGTATGTTGCATCCCCTGCCAAGTCTTTTGCTTTTGTAGGGAGTGATTTCTGTGTGCAGATTAGGGACTAGTCCCTCTAGGATTTTCTAGGTGTAGGTTATAATGTATCTCTCTCGCCTGCACTCCAGTGAGTACAAGTCAAGTGCTTCCAAGCATTCCCAGTAGTTAAGGTGTTTAATGGAACTGATATGTACAGTAAAGGTTCTCCATACATTCTCGAGCTCTATGATTTCACCTGCCTTTAGTGGAGCTGTTATTGTTCAGCAGTATTCCAGCCTAGAGAGAACAAGTGATTTAAAAAAGATCATCATTGGCTTGGCATCTCGTCTTGAATGTTCTCATTATTCATCCTATTATTTTCCTCGCAGATATGATAGTGGCACTGTTATGATCCTTGAAGGTGGGATCCTCAGACATTACCACTCCCAAGTCCTTCACATTACTCTTCCACTCTATTGTGTGATTAAAGTTTGTAGTATACTAAGTTCTAGCTATTATTTCCTCCAGTTTTCCAGTTGATGCAAATTATAGAATTTGCACCATTTTGCTTTTGGTTGGATACAATTCGTACTGGATGTATTCCCAATATGTGCAGATCCTAAAACTGCACTATGGCCTTTGATAGCCAAGCCAGAGACACCACATCTGTTTTCAGGAGGTCATCATTTTCCCCAGAAGAAGACTCCTCTACTACATCTGTAATAGGAGCTATGGCTCTGGTAGAGTCATTAGCCGAATCCGGATTAGCACTAAGGCTGGGGGCTGAGTCTGTGTCAGCACTAGGGCTGGGGACTGAGCTAGTTGATGGTTTTGTTTCCTGTAGTTTTCCCAGTGGGTGTCTTTTTATGGGTCAGCTGTTGTAGACTGGGCATTCTGAATGTTAAACTTTACTCCTTTCCCAGCCTCCCATGCTCTATATATTTTGGGTATACTATCCAATAGTTCCTCTTTGTTTTCATACTTATTATTTATTAACCTCCTGAGTACTTTTCTGATACCTATCCAGAGTTCCACATCCTTATTGCAGATCCAGAAAAACCTTTCTAGATGGATGTCACTTTTGGATGCAGTGTTTATTCTTGCACAGGAGACATGATGTTTGTTAAAAAAAATAGTTGCATGTAATTCTGGATTTTTTCCAGGAGCTTTTTCACATATCCCACATTGAACGCACTGCTTCTCGTACGATCAGCAAAGTTAAGCAATGTTGGGTTTGGTTAGTACTTGGATGGTGACCACCTGGGAACACCAAATGCTATTGGCATAAATTTTTAGGCCTGGTCACAGACTGGGCCGTGGGGGCATTGACCCCTGGAACCCTCTCCAGGTATACTCCATGTGTATACTGTACTGCCATCCTGTATCCTGCTTGCAATCTGGGTACCCCAAGAACCTGATTTCACTTTACCTTTCTGCTCTGCACCCAGGTGGTGGGGTGTTAGAGGGTCAATACATGGGTATGTGGAATGTATTTAATACGGAGACTTTCTATCGATTAACAACATACATGTATATGGTGCATAACACACAGACTTTTCCAATTTGGGTACATTTCCCAAGCTCCACACATACACAAGTAAAGCACATGTTTTCTTGCTAAGATTAGGTTATTGTGGTATTGGGTACTATATGGTAGGCCTGTGTGGTTGCCTGGTAGCAGCACTGCCAGGCATATGGCTGTAACACCACCCTAGGGTACATCGCACTTCTCGCATGCAGTGCCACATTTTAGCTTAAAACACTTCCATTATGTTTAATCACTATCCTTGAGTCATTCCACTGATAATTTAGATTCACTAAGTCTTTCTTCTATGTATCGGTATCCTAGACAATTCATTATATGTGGTAACTCAAACCTTTGTGTATACATTGGAACCTTGGTTTTTGTATGCCTTGGTTTTCATAGGCTTTGGTTTTTCGTCGAAATTGTCCCAGATTTTGTACATATGCTCAGTTTTCATAGAGTTGCAGTACCAAATGCGTCCGCCTACTCGTGCCCACACAAAGCATCCCATGCATTGTGACTCAGTCTGCCTTTGTTTCTTGTTAAGTGAGCATCACTCCGCGTGTTCATCCGAAACATTTCATAATAATCCATTTCTTTTGCACTTGTTTATTGAGTGCGACTGCTAATAAGCCACCATGGGACCAAAGAAAGTTCTGAGTGTCAGCCCTTTGATAAAGAAGGCGAGAAACATGATAGAATTCAAGAAAGAACTTGTAGCAAAGTATGAAAGTGGAATGAGTTATGTGGAGAAATATCACCCTAACAAATCTGTTGCAAGCTGTGCCTGAAATATGTTCAGTGACAATACCTTGTCTCATTTTTGGCAAATCTTAAAGAGACACCAGAAACAGACCTCTCTGGGCATATTTTTGGTGCAACAGGGATCCAGTGACTCTCAAGCTGGACCTAGTGCCAGTAAAAGACAAAGAAGGAAAGTAACCCCAGATAGGGCCTTGATACCTGAAGTTCTTATGGAGGGTGATTTCCCTTCCAAACAATAACCTCTCCTCCTCCCTCTCCCCTCCTCGCCATCTTCCATACGCCAACAGGAGTCTTCAATAAAGGTAAAAGTAATGTTAAATGTTTATTTATCCATTTCATTAGTCATTTATATTTATTTCTCATTGTTTTCTGTATGTAAAACTATAGTTATTCTCTGTAAAATGTATTTTTTGTTAATACTTTTGGGTGTCTGGAACGGATTAATTGGATTTACGATATTTCTTATGGGAAAGATTGCTTCAGTTTTCGTATGAATCGGTTTTCGTCAGACTTTTTGGAACGAATTAATCATGGAAAACGAAGTTCCACTGTACATTGAAACACATGTCAACACCAGGATGGGTAGATTGTCCCACACTGCTACACTTCACTATTTTTGGATTCTTTTATCACTCTGCTGTACACTGGTTATCACAAAGGATATACACAATATTTATTCAAGATACAATTTTCACTGCACTCTACTGGGATTGTTGTTTTATCACTCGCACATCAGCTAAGCATATGGTAATTTTCTCCTTGGTTGCAACCACCCAGGGAGGTACTGCCATCCTGCCAAGTGAGTGTGAAACAGAAACTTGTAACTGTTTTACATGATGGTAGGATTGCTGGTGTCTTTTTTCTGTCTTATAAACATGCTGGATAACATACACACATCTAGGTTTTTCTTCTTTTTCTAAATAGTTCATGTTCTTCTTTATTTCCTCAATTTTCCATGGGGAAGTGGAAAAGAATCTTTCCTCCGTAAGCCATGTGTGTTGTATGAGGTGATTAAAATGCTGGGAGCAGTGGGCTAGTAACCCCTTTTCCTGTAGAAAATACTAAAAAAGAGAATAAGAAAAATTTGATATAACTGGGATGCTTGAATGTGCAGATGATAAGAAAGAGATGATTGCTAATGTTATGAATGAAAAGAAGATGGATGTCCTGGCTCTACATGAAACAAAGCTGAAAGGGGTAGGTAAGTTTCAGTAAGAGATATAAATGGAATTAAGTCAGGAGTATCCAAGAGAGTTAGAGCTAAGGAAGGGGTAGCAATAATGTTGAAGGATCAGTTGTGGAAGGAGAGGAGGGGATATAAATGTACAAATTCAAGGATTATGTGCATTAAAATAAGGGTCAGATGTGAAAAGTGGGTCATAATAAGTGTGTATGTACCTGAAGAAGATAGGAGTGTAGAGGAGAGAGAGAGAGGTTTTAGAAGATGTTAAGCGAGTGTGTAGGAACTTTTGAACCAAGTGAGAGAGTAATTGTGGTATGGGACCTAAATGCTAAAGTAGGAGAAACATTTAGAGAGGGTGTGGTAGGTAAGTTTGGGGTGCCAGGTGTAAATGATAATGGGGGCCCTTTGATTAAGCTTTGTATAGAAAGGGGTTTGGTTATAGGTAATACAAATTTTTAGAAAAGAGGATAAATAAGTATAGAAGATATGATGTAGGGTGTAATGACAGTAGTGTGTTGTACTATGTATTGGTAGATAAAAGACTGTTTAGTAGACTTCAGGATGTACATGTTTATAGAGGGGCCACAGATATAGTATCAGATTACTTTTTAGTTGTAGCTACAGTGAGAGTAAAAGGTAGATGGGATAAAAGGAAAATATAAGCAACAAGTAATAGAGAGGTAAAGGTTTATAAACTAAAGGAGGAGGCAGTTACCATGAGATATAAACAACTATTGGAGGATAGATGGGCTAGTGAGAATATAGGCAATGGGGTCGAAGATGTATGGGGTAGGTTTAAGAATGTAGTGTTAGAGTGTTTATCAGAAGTTTGTGGTTACAGGAAAGTGGGTGCAGGAGGGAAGAAGAACAACTGGTGGAATGATGATGTAAAGAAAGTAATAAGAGAGAAAATGTTAACATATGAAAGGTTTCTATAAGTGGAAGTGATGCTAGGAGGGAAGAGTATATGGAGAGAAAAAGAGGGATTAAGAGAGTAGTGAAGCAATGTAAAAAGAGAGCAAATAAGAGAGCTGGTGAGATGTTATCAACAAATTTTGTTGAAAATAAGAAAAAGTTTTGGAGTGAGATTAATAAGATGAGCAAGCCTAGGGAACAAATGGATTTGACAGTTAAAAATGGGAGAGGAGAGTTAGAGGTATCGGGAAGGAGGGAATATTTTGAGGAATTGTTAAATGTTGATGAAAATA